GTTATTTTAATTAAATAGATTAATACATTGATTATAGATTTAACCATGAAATAAGTACTTTTAAAAAGTTATAGAATAAATTGTACATTTTAGAGCATTTTACATCAATATACTCTTATCATTTACATTAAACAATTTCAAACAACATCTTTATCTTACTTGATGAAATACGGGTGTAATTTCCACATAATGATCATATGTTGATGAAATTGATGAACATTGACATTGAAGCGTAGTTTCATGCTTTTGCACAAGATTATTGTAGAGATTGAGGGATGGATTGCTAAATGTCTTCGTTATAAGTTGAGGTTGAATGATAGTATACAAAGCAACGATAGTAAAACTAATCATGAGTAGAAGAATGTAAAGACGTGTTGCCATTTGACCAAAGCGTTTTGCTGTTATTCGATTGGTATCACTGCCAAAAGTCCATAAAGGAAACATATTCAGATCGACCAATTTGGTATAAATAAGTGTACATATTTTTGATAATACTCCTTTTATTCGATTGAACAGTTTCGGACGAACTATTTACAGAAAAATTAGTATTATTATTATTGTTGTTTTTAAGATCATGTACTTTTAATTGATATGACATCTATGATTAAGAAAGATGAAATGTATTCTATATTTTCTCAGACCATAATACAACAAGATGTCAAATTGATAAAAGGAGATCGACTTACATTGATTCTTATGTTGATGTCTGTTATGTACCAAAATTTTCATTGTGAGACTATTATTTTAGAAAATATTTAGGGTAACGGTGCGGGATTTTTTCTTTAAGAACATCAGCATACACTTACACTCACATCCATACCCACACCCTTCTAATTTTTATTTCACTCTTATAATTTTATTTTCGTCTTATACAAAATAAGATTATAACATTTCTCTAAAAACATTTCATTAATAATTACCTTGTTGTTGTTGTTGTTGTCTTTTAGGCTTTCGTATAAATAAACCATGAAAAAAGTTGATAAGTAAAGGCGTAATTATTCGTAGTGCAGCCGAAAGACCACCAATCATAGATATCATTATAAGTAATATCCCAGCGAAATTATTTTTATATGCTGTAACAGTATAACTACAAGAGGTTGGTGCACATGCTTTCCAATAGAACTCATACGAAAGTACAAAATTCCACTGCTCGACCATTAGATCTTCAACTACCAATGATAATATAGTCTTTGGTGGAAAATGGCTCGATGCTTGATCATAAGTTAGAGGAAGAACATTAGCCATTTGCGATATGCTAATATGAAAATTTAAGAATATTAATGTAAAATTGGATCAAAATTGAAACATTTTCCTGTAAGATTTATTTAGAAATCTCGTCCAAAACTCATCGTTTAATTTTCAGTTGATCTCAACAAATTTTATCTGCTTCACGATTAAAGTTTTGTTTCCTATCTCATAATACTGATTTTAAACAGATTTTAATCATTTATAGATAATATTATATTCAATATTCTATAAAAAAACCTTATGAGTTATTCAAATCCTTTTTCTTCATACTCAATGGTCGTCTCATATGTAATAGAACAATACGCTTGTCAAAAGGGAAAAGAAACTGAAAATAAGTCTCACTCAAATTTAACGGAAATCTACGATACATTTTGTCATGCAAGGGTCAATAGTACACTGACATTTTTTGAAATAGTTTGTGAAGTACAAGAAAGATAATCGAGTGCTATATGAAATGAATCAAGATTTGGTTGAGCAAGTATATAAACTTTTGAAAACAATACTGAGACGACTTTCATATAGATATACGACAAAGAATTCCAAATTCGATAAAAAAATTTTATGTGTCAGAGTTTTTTTTGGAGAAATTGTTCTAACTGTAACTAAATTAATGATAAGAATTCAATAAAAAACGTCAATATTTATAATAAGTATCAACATATTCTAAAACTAATCAGATAGAAATTGCTCTCATCTCAATTTAGTTTGACTCACGTACAAGTTTGTATCATAATTCGAGTAAAAGAGCAACATTGACAGGCAATCTGAATCCGAATAGAAACATTCGAGTGTCGAAGAAAGAATAGAGTTGAATGCGAAACAATCATAAACAAAACCTGGTACTGTATAGACTGAAGTTAAACTCGAAAAAATATATGCAAAACGATATTCATATAATTTCTTCGATAGTACGCAATTGATATTAGTAGCACAAATACATTGAGAGTTTGTTGCATCGACATTTGATGAATCACCCAAACTAAATGCAATCTGAAAGTAAAAGAAACATCTGTATTGTGTCGTTTATAAATCTTAAAAATGCTCTTTTTCAATTTAGAAATAAGAGGAAAATCTTATAACATATCTTTTTAGAATGTTTCTCCTAAACGCAATTTTGAAAAATATGGTTTAGCTTAGTGAAGTTAATCCATTCAGGACTGAATTATTTTTTTTTTGAGAAAAATAGAAGAGCAAGTATTTAATCTTGTGGACATAGTTCATCGTTAAACAACTGCTAGTCAGAAAAAACTGTTATCTTTTCAAATTATTCTTAGCGACAGATATATACATAATAATTTGGAAAGAGAACAAAATCACTAGAACATAATCAAAATAAAAGAGAAATCACCAGATAATATAAAAAACATCTAAAATAAAATTGAATCAGTACAAGTTTTGGAATATTTGTACAACAATATCTTTGACAAATTCTGCTACACGAAAAGACTCTATCAGATTTTTTGCATTCATCTACTATCGTAATTCATGTTGTTAGATGTCTATTACATTATTAATCTATTACAATCTATCATTTTCATAATCCTTTATTTTTTCTATTACATTATCATTATTAACACTCTTTCTTATATCTCATAGAAATATTATTCAGTAATATTTACTTGTTTTTATTTTCAGAATCTTTCTTTATTTGTTTCTATTGAAGCAGTACATCATAATCAACCAATCATTCTTTCATCTTTCTCTATCATTTTCCTATACTAGCAACGCTAGTTTCTATGTTTATCATTTGTTTGTTTTTCGTTGTTATTAACAAAATATAGGAAAAATATTGGGCTTCCACTGATACATTCAAAGATTTCTCACTTTAAGATAAAGGAAATTTAACTTTTTCAATTTCATTCGAAGAGTTCGAACAAAGTATTTTTCGTTTTAACTAAAAACATACCTGAACTGATTGTTGGCCATTCGTTTCATTGATTAGGGAACCTTCCACTTGATAAGTACCTGATGATGTCGTGTAAAATTGATCAACTTCAGTGACAATTTGTACAAGTTCAATGAGATTGCGATAATCGACGACTGTTGATTGAATGAATTGATTATAAATTGAATCTAGTGAAGCATTGAAATTGTTTTCAGTGAGTAAATTTGAAGTGATAAAAGATCTCATAGTAAATGACTGGATAGCATCATTAATCGTGGTATTAGCCAGTTGACAGAGTTCCTGTATTATTTTAAATTGGAAGGACGCTTGGTAACGCCAATCTGACGTATATGGTAAGTGCTCAATGAATGACTTAAATAGGTTAATCACATCATCTTTCATAAAGTCGCTTGTGCACACTTGATGAAAGGTTGGATTGATTGAAACAAATGCATAATATGGTATTACCATGTTCGAACAAAGACACTTAAGAGTATTTGGATACAATGTTTGCAATTGATTGTAGGTAGTGAACGATGGATTTGATACACTTGATGTGATAGTTTGAGTCTCAAGTGAATTGAATAGAAGCAATATGAGAAACAAGCCTATTGAAGAAAATATAAAAATAAATATATTAACACAATTGAAATTGGATTAATTTCTATCAAATAGAAATTCATTAATAGATTAAGACTGCAAGAAAGTGAGAAGGACCGAAATCATACAAGTCTCATGTGATAAAAATCGGGAGTTTATCGCGATTTTACTGATCCGATTATCAGCTCTCATTACTGTCATTTATCATGGTAAACTGCTGGTTTCAACAGTTTTTTGTAGTAAATGGTGATTTGCAACCAAAAAAGAGGTGGTATTTTGAACATAGTGCGCATATGTCAAATTAAAAACTTGCTTTCATTATTGAATATTTTGTTTTTGTAAAGAGATTATTCTAAATATACCATTGCTCATATATTCAATTAAGAGAATATAAGATGATAAAATATTTATTGAATGATTACTCCAAGTAAAATCAAAATAACTATAACAATTGTATCTTGAAACTAGCTTTCTCAATTAGTTTATTAAGAGATTATCTAGCAATTAACTAAATCAGATAACGAACAATAAGTGAGAAATATTATTATTATGTTCAATGAAGTCTTCTCTCTTCCCTTAGAAAATCAAAATTTTTGAACAAATATTGAAGTTGGGTTTTTATTGAAGAATGATGCAGCAAAGTCTCTTTCAGGACATATACAGTTTTTTGGTAACTCTACCTTTCGTCTTTTTTTTGTCCGTTTACTATTCGTCCTAATTATCGCTTGTCCTATTATATTTGGTCCTCTTACATCTCGTCTCAAAAGCTAAGTATTTAATTTTTATCTTGATAATATGTATTAAAATTTATTTAAAATCATTTAAACTCTTATTTTCGAGTTCATCACAATTCGTTTAAATAATCACTAATTTTATAAACATTGTACGATAGCGTGACTGTTTTCGAACGTGCATCAAGATCTATATACAATTTTCTCTTTTATTTTGAAAGTGCACTAGCGCGCAGTCGTTCAATAACAACCCCGAATCGCGATGGGTTAGTGGGAATAAAAAGAGTAATGACTCACACCCTCAGGATAGACTACCTATTTTTTAATTATTTTCCATTTAACCTATGTTCTATTTAGCTTGTGAATAAGAAACATTAAATATTATTTATCTTAGAATTTTGTGATTATTCAAATAATATCTTGATACACTGATTTCTCATGTGGAATACAAAAAAAAATTTTCAATAAAAACAATCATACCAACAAGTAAGATCAAATACATGCGTGTTATTATTCGCTGTTTTTTGAGATCATTTTCTGTTCGTTCATTGGTTAATCTGAACAAATTCAGTTGTTTTATCCATACACCAGATTTACGCATACGTATCATAAAATATGCTACAAAATTAAAATATAAATTAAATTTTCAATAGAAACTATTTTTCCGTTAATCAATCTTTACCAAAATTAATGGGAATGTTTGTTAAACGAAATTCTATTTTTGATGCGATATTAACGATTGTAGTTGATATGAAACGTAGTACGATGATAAGACTACCGTATAAACTGATTAAAAGACCAATTGTATATGAAAAACTGGTCCAATCTGTTTTGGTATATGTGCAGACTGAGGGAGCACACTTAGTAAAATATGTTGAATAATTGATCTTTGTTAACCATTCATTTACAAAGAGATTTGATAAACGATCATTGACAGAAATGTTTGTTCTATCTGATGGTAATAAAGAACTAAAATTCACCTAAACGGAAAGAACAGTTGCAGATTAAATAAGATTTTGTCATACATACTTGATTGAGAGCTGGAAAATAGTCGGGAAGTACTTCAAGACAACTGTCATCGTACAGACAATCAAGTGTACTTTCAAGGAGAGCGTTGAGTGGATAACATCCTCCAAAGAATCCACTGGCATTTGCAGAAGCAGTTAACACAGAAAACAGATAACCAGGATTACTAACGTAGGAAAAATAAGAATTATAATTATCATCCCAATAGTTTAGATAGGAAATTGAATAAAAACCAGCTGGATTCATAATGCTATCTGTCGCACAGGATCCAAGGTGATCAGCAGTTATGACGTTGAAACCACTTACTGTATGCCCGTACGTTGGATAGATATATGCGTTGTATACTGTATTGATAGCAGTGACTAAACCGTTTAGTGGAGTTGTGACTTCTAGAAACTGTATGATTGAGGTGACTTGAATATGTAAGTTCCCCTGAATAAGTTCAATTGCCGTGTTTACTTCAGATTGAACTTGATCTTCTGGAAGGAGTTGAACAGTGATAAACTGATTAGTACCAAATTCATTTATGCTTTGAAAAATTGAATCATTGGAGAATGAACAAAGATCAGCCAGAATTTGGAACTAAATGGAAATTCAAACAAATCAGACAATGATTTCTAATTATATCACATAGAAGTGCATGGATGTTACATCATCATCACCTCATACCAAGTATTATCAGTAATTGATCAATTCCCAGCAATAAACATTTTAGTATATAGTATCAATAAAATGAATCCTATGACACTTGTTCAAATCACAAATCGACAACAATGAAGTATTATATAAAATAAGAAATGTAAAGAAAATTGTCATGACTGCTATTGCCTACATTCCAATTCTTTAACTCGTTCGCGTTATAAGATATTGATACATTATCGATAAATAAAAGTGTTTTTCAGTAAAAGTTATTCTAAAGACTAATCATGTTAACTTTCTATTTTCGTAAAGCATTCAAAAAAGTCAATCATAGTCGCAATAAATGAAGGAGAGAATGAACGATATTTTGATTAATAAAACGAATTTCAAGCAAAGTTATTTGTTGGCTAAGTAAATTAATTAAAACAAAAAAAATAATCAAGTATTTTGCAAGAGATCATTATTTTAATAACCCAAAAGTTAAATACTCATTTGATAACTACATAACAGAAACTACTATAACTATGTATCGGTTCTTTTATAAACTTATTCTTCAATACTATGAGTGCTTCTTGTTACACATGAAAAATGTTAACTTATCAATCACAACACTCATTTGTCGCTGCAAAAATACTCTTTATTGCTAGTGTTGTGACAAAATTTCCAGTGCTTTTTATTAAAATAATTTCAGACTCGAGGTCTAGACAATAACTGCCACAACAGTTCCTTGGGATGTTATGTTTTTCAGAGTATCATTTTGATTTTAACTTATAATTGGATTAAAATCATACAACTATTTTTCATCGTCACTATGTTTGTCTTTGAAAACAATGTAGTTCTTATAATTCGTTGAACATCTATCCGCAAAGACTATTCTTAAAAGATATTCTAATGAGAATTCGACATCGAGATCTGCAAGAAAAATTCGTAAGAGACACTATTCATATAGATTATTGTCTATTGAATAATAAAAGAGAGCTATGACCATTCACATAAGCGATCTTTACGTCTAGTTAAGCTTCGATCGTTGATTTCTAAAACATGTATCAAAGAAACTTTTTACATTTTTCTTTTATGTTACAGACTGTATAGATTTCTCAGATGAAGACATCGAGAACAACATGTACTGAAGAAACATAGAAACAGATACACTCTTCGAGTATTTGAGAATCGAGTGAAGTAAAAACTTTGATATTTCGCATAACCTCATCTGGACAATCTTCAATTGTTAAATCATAGACTAATATATAGACGATGTATATGCTGCCGAATATCATATTTAAATGGTTTTACTATATCCAATTCAAACAAAGACTCAACATGGTGCATTTTTGAATTTCAAAATATCTTTTTACAAAAAATCTTTACTCACTTG